TATTTGTATATATATATATATCAACCAGATTTTGTTGTAGAAAATGTAATTTTAGAATGAATTTCTGCTTACAGCCTCATTTGTTTTTAATATTAATGTGTGTATATGTGAGACTGCCTGCATGAATAAATCTACTAGAAGGCAAAAACCTATGGGTGGGTGAAAGCTTAAATGTATGTGCCAAGTTCTACTAGAACCCTGTTTGAAATAGCACTCTTCTTTGGTTTCATGGAAAGATAATGGAAATCTGTAATTATCAATCTCATTCAAGAAAGGCTCTTTCCTTTAGAGAGTCTATTTTGATAATTTTTTATGTTGATTGTAAGTTGCTGTACAAAGTAGTCTGATTCTGTTGCCTGTCCATGAACATTCATTATTTGATAAAATTGGGTATATTTCTTTATTTTTACAAAATTAAACTATACGTTCATAGCAATTTGTTATTTTTCTCATTGCTGTCCTTATAGTTCTTTCTCTACTTATGAATTGTAAAGTGTAAATATGGTTTTTAAACCAATGTTTTAATCTTATTGAAGGTTGCGTTCAAAATATGTAACTGTTACTTGTAATGTAGATGAGCCTCTCGGTGGAGCTGATTTATTCCAGCAATTTCTTCCATGTTTTATCATTAATCCCACACTAGCCAAGAAATGTCAGGAATAGAAAGGAGAGGTGAAAAAGGAGCCACTTCAGAAATGTTCTGCACTTTGTGTAGTTCTGTGAGCTGGCTCTTCCTAAACTCCATGCTGCTCCTCATTGATGGTGGGATTAGACCTCATGGTTGGGAACCAAGAGGCCAGATGATCTGTTAAACTGCAGGGTAACAGTATAAAGTCAGATGTAGAAACTCAGTCTATCTGCTATCAAAATCTGCTTTTTCTGTGAAATGAAATTGAATTGATTCTTATAGACAATGGGTAGTAGGTTTTTTTTTGTATGATGAAACTTTTCCACAAATAAATCTTAGGTAGGAATTATACACATTTCAGGATAAGCATTTTCCTTTTAGGAACAGCATGAAGAGTAGAATGTCAAGTAATATAGATATCTTTGTGAACCAACACTAGTACTGAAAAAAATTTAAAGCCCTCTAGTTTGAAGTTAGTGAGCTTTTTATTAAAATAAATATATTAAATTATTTGACCTTGCAAGGTGGGGAAAGTATAGCTTTCTGTTTTAAGAAATAGTCCTGATATTCCAATTAATACCTTACCAGGTCACAATGGGCTAAGTTCAGAGCAATCGGGAATGATATAAAGTCTGTAGAAGGTATAGTGTCATAGCTCTTACATGATATGAATTTCCATTGTATCTTATTTCAGACCTTAGGTTATTGCATATTATTTTTAGAGTAATTCAACATTTGCCTTAAATGTGTTGTCAAATGAAAAATATAGACAGCTGCACTGTTGTTTTGCTAATAATTGTTAGTTATTGTCCTACGCATTTTATTAAATTAATTTTGTAAATTATTTTATACTTCTAAACATCATGTTGGTGGTGCTTTCTATTTGCCAAAGTTCTACATTCCGTACAGTCTTCCCTTACTGTACACAGGGAAAAGCTGTCTTCATCTAATATGGTTTTATTAAATTAACTTTTGACATTCATTGCAAAGACAAATTGAGTTTACTAAGATGCTCATGACTGAACATAACTGTGTAAAAAAACATTTTAAAACAAACAAATGAGGGTTGACAAGATGACTCAGGAGGCAACAGCACTTGCTATCAAGCCCAAGGGCCTAAGCTGAATCTTCAGAATTCACATGGAAGGAGAAAGCCAACACCTACAAGTTGTACTCTGACCTCCACACATGTGGCATGGCAGGAGATACTCACATGCATACATACACACATAAATAAATAAGTAAATGTGATATGATTTTTTTAAAGAGAGAAATGCACAAGAAACAGAAGTTCTGTATCCACAACTCTTTGGGTTGACTTTGTGCTGTCCTGGACTACTTTTAAAGTATCATGGTATCACATTCTAATTTTGTTCACTTGTGTTCTTAGACTATCTCAGTCCATTTTATTGAGTGCTATTATTGCTGGATTAAAAAATTATTTTATATGTATGAATGTATTGCCTGCATGTGTGTAGGTGCATTCATGTCTTGCAATGCCCATGGAGGTCAGAAGAGGGCATTGGATCCCTGGAACTGGAGTCACAGACAATTGTTATTTACCTTGTATGTGCTGTGAACCAAACTAGGGTTCTCTATAAGAGCAGCCAGTATTCTTAACCACTGAGTCATCTCTCCAACCCCTATTGCTAGACTTTTATAGTAAACTTCAAATGCCGTTTTTCTGCCATATAGAAAATATAATATCAAATAATTTCATTTTCCATAATGTTAAAAGTTAATTTTAAAACAAATATTAAATTGTATCTTTGTTTGATTAGAACTCCAACTATGCGTGACATTAAAAATATCTTTTCCTAAATCAATTATGAAAATGTGTGGAAGCTTTAGCAATGAAACCAATAAGAATTGCTTTTTAGAGAACCTGGTGCTATTTGCTGAAAAGCACAGCCAGAAAAGCATAAACCAGGAAAGTTAATTCCTTCCTGAAGATTTTCAAATCAGTTATGGTAATGACTTCAGTTTTACCCAAATAAAAACATCATATGAACTTATTACAAAGAACAGTGCCCTGAAAATGTATTAAAGCTTCTTAATGCTTCAAGGCATGCAAATGGTGATCCAGGCTCTATAGCCTTTGGTCTTCGGTTATTTTTGTTCTGTAATTTAGAAATATTGTCATTAGCTTATGGAACTAGAGGTAGACATGCTAGCTCTGAAGTAGTGAGAAATAACAGAGTTTCCAAGAGTTCTCTTACGTCTTCCACTGACACCCTCCAACCTGCCACCTTTCTTTCCCTCCAGTATATGGAACTTGAATCCATGCTGATGGTGTGACTATCCTCCCAACTATGACATCCCAGTTAGGGGCCAGTGAAGGAAGTGTCCAAAGCAATCTCAGAGCTCTGAGCTTATCTCATTGTATATGGCTTGTATCTCATTCAATAATTCAGGTAGAAATGAACAGAATGCAATAAATACCAACCTGCAGCATTAGAACACTTGTAAGGGGAGATGTACTACCTGACTGCAAAAGAAATTGAAATGAAAAAAAATGAAAGCTACCAATATGCAGCCTGAAGCATTAGGGAGGCGGTTCTGGCAGTGGATACAGTGCCAGGGTGGAGTAGGTAGTAAAAGTACTTGTTTTATGCTATTTGTTCTGAACATGAACTGTGAATTCTCTAGACTTCCTGGCCTTACCCTGTCTGTCCACCACGCAGCTAGAAAGCTCTTCTTACACCAATTAGCTTTTACCCAACTACTGAATTTTCAGACACCACACTCATCTGAAATAGAAAGGACATCTTACTCAAATGGATATACATTAGTTTAAGAATGTTCAGCCCTTCACATTTTAAAAGTCACCATGTGATGCTTTTATTAAATGATATTAAAGGATCATTGTATCACTCATTTAAATCTTTAACAAATAAAAAATGGGAAGTTTCATATCTGTCTAAAGTTCTACTAGAATTGTCTTTGCAAAGCAATGGTAGAAAATCAAAGAATATTTTCAGTCAAAATGTATATGAGAGAGGCTGGAGAAATGGCTTAGTAGTTAACAGCACTGACTGCTCTGGCAGAGGATCTGGGTTCGATTCCCAGCACCCACATGCTGGCTGACAACCATCCCTAAATCCAGTTCCAGGGGATCTGATGCCCTCTTCTGTCCTCCGCTGGCACTGCACGACACGAATGCACTTACATGCAGACAATACATTCATATACATAAAATAAAAATAACAAAATAGTTTAAAAATAAAATAAATTTGAAAAATGTATAGTGAACATATATTCACTCAGGTTTTAATGTTAGAATCAGTTCTTTAAAGAAGTGATATCTGATACTGTTAAAAGAGAGTTGATAGGTGTAAGGACTTTATTCCAAGGAATTCTCCTATGTTTATTTCAGTAGGATGATTACCTAGAATGGACAAGAAAGTAAAAGGATTACAGGTGGTAAGAATTATACCAGCCTGATCTACACAGTGAGTTCTAGGCAGACTGGAACTACAGGAGACCCTGTCGAGAAA